ACCAGAGCCTGACTCTGAAAATAACAATAATAATAAAACGGATAAAACACTTTGGAATATTAACATTTAGACCAACCGTTTTTATCAAAGTGTGAAGACAGAACCTGATAATTCTAAACAAGATTTCTCTCTGTAGTCTGATTCGTGACTGAAATAATTCCGTTTTTCTGATGCCAGAGGTCGGTGTTCAAATCTAAATAAACGCCAGAATTTTTCATTTCATACTTTGTTTTATGTCGACAGAGTACCACGATTTCCATTCGTGTATCTTCACATCTTCGCTACACATGCGATGACATCAGTTGTGCATTCAATTTCATTGCAAATAGCCAATATTGAAGTTCTTATTTAAAGCGCGGAATTAATATGTTCACTATCACAACACATTGAAAACTATCACTGCACAATCTTCCTTGGATATATAATCGTAACAAAGTTTAAATTATTCTTTTATGAGACTTCTCTCCCCATATCGGGTGATCATATATTCTCAAATCCTTTCGATCGTCTGAAACCGCATTTCCAACTGAATCTACACAAATGATTAAAAAAAAAATCAACTTATTCATAAAAGACTGTACACAAATTTTACCAAATCTTAAGCAGTTCCACTACTGGCATCTGTATGTTCTGAGTAATTTAAAAAGAAAAGTAAAAATTAATTAAAGGTGAAATGAAACAAAATGAATTATTATTTACGTTTTTGTATTTTACTTAAAGAATTCTACCAATTCTACTAATTTACTTATATTGATATGGATATCTTTTCCACTTATTCCAGCCAAGCAAAAGAAAAAAAAAAAAGCACCATTTTGGCAACTTGATTACTAATTCTTGGTCAGATATTGAGCAATCCAGTTATTCTTGAAAATCCTATATTGTTTATAAAAAAACATCTGTATTTTGTCGAACGTTCCCATCGCTATAGAGAAGTTTGGATTATCTTTTTTGATCCTCATTGAACCATCGTGATATAGAATGGATTTTTGAGCTTGCTTAATGATGTTGATTTTCTGGTCGGTGATGTTGCAATAATTATTGACCTGGATTATAGTAGCCATTAACAGGCATTCAGTGATCGACGGGTAGAAGTTGGCGATGTTGAATTGCATGAAGGTGCACTCGCTTTTATTTTTTTTATGTTAAAGAACCAATTGATATCATCTTTAGTATCCTTCCATTGGTTGACCCGTATGACATTCCTACTGTATCTGCAGACTCGCTCTAGTATAACCTTGCTGATTTTTCCCTATATTATTCTTGGATGGATTAAGCAATCGGAACAGCGGGTTGTTGGGGAAATTATCTTTACGGTCATTAAAGGAAATCCGTCCTGGGTATGACGATAAACTACATCCGCGTCCTGGGTAAGACGATAGACTACATCCGACAGCAAGGGCTCTGTTCAGGTGGTTTTGAGGAGTGTGGAACCACCTCTTAATTTCTGGTGTTCCCAGGTCTACCTTGACCCGGGGTAGTAGTACCTGTTAGGGTCCCAGTTAATGCAAACAGTTAACCCCCAAACTGGGGTCAAAACACTATGAAAATGTAAAAATAGATTTTAATACCAGAAAAACTTTTTGTAAAAAAATTATTGCCAGCAATACATTTTTGAAGAAAAAAATATTACAAAAAATAGATTTATGAAAGAAAAAAAAATATTACTAGCAACAAAAATTATGTTGGCATTAAATAACCCATTGAGGTTGATATGCCGTAAAACAAACCAAACCAAACTAAACCAAAACTTAACGGGAATAAAAAACCTGCTCCTTATGAAGCTTATGCACCCTATCGTTGATCTTAAGTTTAGTGGCTGTAATTCGTGACTTGTTGTTAATATCAATTTTCCTTTCAGCTGGTGCTTTCTTATACATTTTATTCATTTCTTTACATATAGCTTTGTGCTAGTCGTCGAAGTTATAGTAATATAGATCGCCAGTTTTATCAGATTTGGCGATGATATTATTAATATTACGTAACTAGGCAATGTCTTTTTTCATATTTCTCTGTAGGTTGATACATTTGGTTGCATATTGAATTCTATTTATTACAGAGAATAAATCTTTTTCAAGTTCTAGGAGAATGCCATTGCTAGGTGGTGTTTTCAGGGACTGAAATCCAAAGGAATCGAAAGCTTCACATTTATTGTCGTATTTTTTGGTGAAAAATAGCTTCAATCGACCCCTAATCTACATTCTACATTCTGTATTTACACCACAAAATTGTATTAAGTTTATATTAAATTTGAGCTTTGAATCTGAGTTTAATTAAGCGTCCCCCCCATGAGACCCAGTATTTGTTTAAATCCAAAGTAATAATTCGTGCCTGATTATTTGGTAGATCAACAAAACTTTAATTTGCACTTCGAACTTAGGCATATGTATATTTATTGATATATACACTATAGATACATATATAGATATAAGTATAAATATGAATGAAATAAAAAGATATGAGCAACCATACATGCGTGCAAATACGTACATATACAAATTTGCAAATAAATATTTATTTAATTTCTGGCTTAAAACATGTCTTAATGCAGTGTAACAGAGCTATAAAGTATATTTTAATAACTACTCATATTATCAGTTGTATGACTCAGAGTTTCATGTGTGTACAATCGTCAGGTACTAATGGATGTTAACTTTTCAAAACGGTTCTTTCAAAGATTCTTGAGTCGTAAGACTGACGCAGGTAATATGTATAGTTATTAATATACAGTGCTGTTCGATAAAAGTGATGCACCTGATTTTTTTTACTAAATGTTCTCTTCTCCGATGAAACGAAAGTAGAGCCAAATTTAAAGGATAAGCGATCTAAAATCTGAAGAAGAAGCTTTGAAAGCTTTTTGAATTTGGCAGTAAGTACTGTCAAACATCCGTTCAGTATAATGTTCTGGGGATGCTTTTCTTTTCATGGAACTGGTTTCTTAAAACCTATTGAAAAGACCCTCAGGAGCGAGCAGTACAAGAGAATAGTAGAGTCTTGTCTGCTCCCTTCTGCTGAAAGGGTGCAAATCAACCCCACCAAGCTCATTTTTATGCAGGATAATGCTCCCTGTCACAAATCAAAATTGATGAAGGAATACTTTGATGAGAAGCAGGTGAGTGCTATGACATGGGCGCCCCAATCTCCTGACCTCAACCATATAGAAAACTTATGGAGCATGTTGCTCAACTGCTTTCTCGAGAGCCTATATATATATATATATATATATATATATATATATATATATATATATATATATATATATATATATATATCTGTGTGTGTGTGTGTGTGTGTGTGTGTGTGTATTCGACGTATGAGGGTCCAGAAACTCCTAGGGACCAACAGCCCAAACACCAGCACATGTGATTCGATTTTAGTGGTGAAGGCTTTGTGCAGAACCATCAACACTTTTTGAAGGGCCGAATACAGAGACATGTGGCACGACCCTCCGCAGGTTTTGAATTCAGAGTTGTCCTTCTCCTAGACCTGTTGCCATACAAGGCTATAGAACACAGTCTGTCCTGCTATTTACCCATAGCTGGAGGGAGAAGAAGATGATAAATATATATATATATATATACACATACATACAAGTATAGGATTGGTGTATACGGAATAAATTCCAATAACCAACAATTACTCTTCTTAAAAGAGTGCTCAATACAGAGTAGAGTAAATATAATTATTTATTCGAAAATTAATCAAATATGTTATAAAATCACTACAAAAATAGCCATTTTGTTTCAACACCTCTGGTGTCTTATCAAGTGATGATGTTGAATGTAGAATAAAGGGTTTTAAAAGGTTCAAGTCAATTAACCACCCTTAGCAAGGGGAAACGCTGTTACATGAGGTGAAATGACCAATCAAAATACAAGTATAGGAGAATTCAAAAAACTTGGCAACGAACTAAGATTATAATAACAATTTAATGTCTTAATGTTGTGGTTAGACTAATATATATATATATATATATATATATATATATATATATATATATATATATATATATATATATATATATATACTTTTGTTTATCGTAATATTTTCTTTTCCTCAATGGTAATATTAAGATTACCCGTTCCCATACAGAAAAAAATGAGCATTTTC